CATTCGCAGAAAAATCACAAGACAACTCTAGTTTTTCTCCTACAATCGGTGGTGGTGGGCTTCTTTTGTTCCTGGTAAATGGTTCGAGTTCTGATTCAAGATTTTTTTTCGATTGTTCAGATGATATCAAGCTATACTTCTTCTCTCTCACTTGCGTTCAGGTAAAACTCAAGGATCATACCGCTGTTGTGTTATCTATGAACGGCCTATAGTGATTGCCTTGTAATTTACCAGAAACAATGACTTATTGAACTTTTCGTCGGGTTAATTATTCGTCAAACACTTTTATTTACCTTGTTACTAAGTAAACTTTTCGATCAGGTATGTTGATGTAAGTTTGAATTTTAATGACTAATAATAAACTTGTGTCAAAGAATTGTTTACAAAATATTTGCCTTGTTATTAATAAAAATACTTTGTTAAGCTTTGCATTCGGTCGGCAATGACCGTTATTTTGTTATGCATTGTAAGGAATAAAAACGCATTAAAATGCTCGTACTGTAACATTTTTCTTTGCTTAAGCCATGGTCTGCCTAGTAGTTGCGATCCAAGTCGTCATGAAAATTGATGAAAACACTCCGAACAAAATGTTGATTTCAACAGGCTTCCACATTGTTGCGCCACCAACCAACCTATCTACAAAAGGTACAGCACTGTGATACTCTGTGTACTCGTCGTCTGGGTCCATCAATGAAATCGCAGAAAAGACGGTGTTATTATTAAACGGCAACAAAGGACGATAACTGTAGATCATTGGTGTCTTATCAACCGTATAGATTTTTCGAAAAAGCTCGATCTAGTTGAAATTTTGTGAAAGAAAGAGCGAGAAAAATAATGAAAACTAAATTCTTGTGGTACAGAACACTAAAATATTCCAAGGGGTTTACAAAGTTTTATTATAAATTTATGAACGGTGAGGCTATCATTTTTGTTATCGTAATTTGACTAAGATATCTAGCATACTGGTATGAAGCAGAAGGATGAAAAACGCTATATTGTGAATATACAAACTGGGTAGAAATCAAGCTCACTAACCGATATGAAGCGAATCAAACAGAGGTGCGAAAATAATTCTATTGTATATATGGAGACTAGAGGAAGGTCTAGATGGGATTAAACCATTTTTGATACTTGAACACATTACCCCAAGACATTTTGGCCATATACTTTCATTTTGATAACTAATATATGGTGCATAAAGTGTATTAGATGTAGAGATTTAGTGGACCGTGACACATCTATAAGTTTTTGTGTTTGAAATGTTCACATGTTTGAAATATTACTGAAAGATTTTAAGATTTGTTAATTACCGTTCGCCATTATACCAAATCACGCAAAGTCAAAAAGAATAGCACCTCCTCGAAGTAATTTCGGTATCTAATGAAATCTACATATGGATCTAACTCTAAAAATATGTCGTCAAATTGACTATTATTCCCGCCGGTTCTATTATGGTATATCGAAATTGAATTCTCTGAGACTCAGCGTTGGCTTAACTCTTACGCATATGTAAGAATACTTACAACATTAAATTCATACCTGTTTTTCAGAAATATAAATTGGGTATTTGAAATCAATCCATATAACATCTTCACTGCATGGTGGCGTTGTCAATGAACCGGTATAAGTATAATAGTGATTGATTTCAGAAGTAATAAAGCCCCACAACTTTACTGGACTGCGGAACTTGGCGACCGCACCTGGTCTGACAACATTCTCTATTATCTCCATCAAGGGATCATAAAGAAAGCTGCTCGATTTCGTCACCTAAAAATAAAAACGCAAGAAAATCATAAATTTCAACCACGACACTTTTGAAGAAATAAATGATATACCATATAATTATAGGCTAAAACTGCCACACCGTTACTTTCCTTCGCTGCTTTGGCGAGTGTTGGGTATTTGCCATTTCTGAAAACCATATGCAACTCAGCTGGAAAAAAGGCAGTACTGGTGCGATCCTCACTATCAAATGTGTCATTGCCCATCCAGTGAAAATATAATTGTTCGTAAATAAATTTCTCATTTAGCGGTCCTCCCGATATAGCTGGATGATCATCGACATATGTTAGCCGAATAAAAATGGTGTATCCATTATTTATAAGTTCAGCAGTTTTTGGTTCCTCCTGAAAGCCCCATATTGCAAATGGTGGATAAGTTTGATTAACTATGTCCACAGAGTCAATATTTAGTGGATTAGGAAGTTTGCCAGTGCACTTGGCCACTGTAAAAATTAAATTTAATTATTAGGTTAGTAAAGTTAATAAAAATATTAATAATTAATATAATTAATATGAAGATTTGTTTATGTACTCGTAGCTGATGCGTTCTGCAAAACTAAATTAGCGGTGGGTTCTATAGAATAATAACCAATGCGGTAACATTAAGGTGAGAGTAGGGTTTAAAAATTTATGTGATGCATAATATCTCAAGAATGTAGTTTTTAAATTTTATGTCAGTTGGAGTTTTAGATCAGATTTTAAAACTTTAAAAACGTTTTTCCCAAAACTCGTGTTTTCAAAGTCGGTGCACCTCATAACTTCCAAACTACTGCACCGAACGTTTCGAAATTTTACACTCTTTCTGTACATAATTTACGAGTAACGATGGAGGCAAACAGTTTTTATATTACAATTAAAGTTTTTCGCAAAAAATCGCGTTTTTTCCTTCAAATTGTTCCAAAAAAATGAAAAATTTAAATTTCGAAAAACCCTCTCGACGTTACCACCAAATTATTTTTTTTCCGAGACACGTTCGAATAACATTGTCATTGCCGTATTTTTTGATGTTTCTTCGTAACAATTTTGCATAACATTATTCGCATGTCATACTTTTATGTAACATTGGTCGAATTAACCCTACTCCCCCCTTAAGTCTAAGTCCTTAGCAGACATTTTAGGACTGTGAGGCCAAAGCGTTAACTGTGCTTAAGATGTTTCTATTATACATCAATTGTTGTTTATAGGCTAAATAAAGAAATCCGGCACTAACTTCTGCCTTGTTGATTAGAGAATAAGATAAAATGTCAAGCACATCGAAAGACAATGATTAAAAAAACTGAAAAATCGCTCAAGACTTTTTTGTTGCCTAAAAAGTGCACCCAGTTCCAAACTCTATGCACAACTTATATTATATTATATTAGAGTTAAGTTTTAAGTAAAGGGCGTGGTGGTAATCAGATTCACACACGAATCATGATTGTGATTCTATATCGATTATTTACGAGTAGATAGGAAAATAATGTATGTTAAAGTTTAGCCCAAATTAACTTTGAAGGTTGCTGGAATCTCCACAGGCATTCCATTGCCAGAGAGATCTTGTATCATATTTAGTCTCTCTGCTGGTTTTAGTAATTTCTGTTTATAATAAGGATTCAAGAATATTGCGGTAGTACCTTCTAAAAGGCGCTGAATGAAGTGTGGTTTGTGAAACAAGTTCTTCAACCCTTCAGTTTTTTCATATACACTAGCGGACTCGACAGACGTTGTCCTACGTCTTAAATGTAAACTTTTTGAAATTAGCTGTAACAATTAGACCGTTTTGATGAACATTTTTATTAGAAACTTTTTACAATATTTAACGTCATTCATACATATTTATCCCAATTCGACCAATAGCGTGTGAGCAAACACATAAGTATGCTTTCGGAGATGTTAAATGTAGAAGCTGTATTCAATGAAAACTTGAAGTCGTTTTAATTGAAGGTGAAAAGGTTGAATCTTAAACTACTCTATAACGGGTATTTATTCGTAGAGTTAATTATCTACAAAAACTGAAGCGTATTGTCAGAGGATGTACAATATTTCCATGTAAATTCAGGGAACTATATTTGTTACGTTTTTTCTAAATTTGAACGTTTTTTTTACACAACATATACAATAGTATTGTTTAAATTATTGCCCATCTGAAGATATAACATTTCTCCATCCCAAAAGAACTGCGCCCGCTTGATGGCAAAAAATCAATCAAAGCAATGTTCTGATGTGAACCGTATTCCAATGAGGGCGTTCTGCTTCGAACGGAACAAATGGTAGTCAGAAGGGACAAGGTCTGGTTTATAAGATGAGTGGGGCAAAATTTCCAGCCGATAGTTTTTAACCGGTCTTTAAACATGAGGAAAATTATTTGCTCGTGTCTAGTTCTAAATTCCAGACATTTTTCGGTAATCCCAATCGGTTTAAGCCGATTTTAGAAGCTTTTAGCACAGCACGCCCTTCAGATCCCACCGAACACAGAGCATACCTTGGCGTCATGAATATGAGGTTTTGCCGTTGATTCAGCTGATTGGCCAGGTTTCATATATGATTTTTTGCGCTTACGGTTGTCTAATAGATCCAGTTATAATCCGATGCAAAGACAACTTCTTTTTGTAGCGTTTATGCAGCATTTCCGACATACCAAATCATTGTTTAATGTTTCTTGGTTTTAATTCATATGACACCCAATTTGCTTGCTTTTGTATGTATCCGATTCGTTCATTTTGGCAACAATCTTCATCGAATGTTTGGGTCTATCATCAACGAGAAATCTCGGTATACCTACTTATGTGTCTTGATCTACATCGACGCCAAAGCAACAGGACTTACGGTGTTGAATCGAATCTTTTTAAGGACTTACTAACATAAAATCGACAGTTTCCGATTTTCATCTTTCAAAAAGGTTATGCGAATCCTTATTTCGATTTCCAGTCATACCACAAATTACGATGTTCACTGAGAAGCAAGAACGTCATTGAATAAGTTAAACCTTTGCCCTAAAAAATCTAAGCCAAAGTGAGTTGCTCTCTGAGTACGTGCTCTTGTCTTCTCAACGATTACAAGCGGGGCTTTTAATTCTCAAAGGCAGCCTGTTGTTTTGTGAATAAATTTCGATAGATCTAGTTTATGGCGCTGCTAAGTGATATACATATTTCTATCAGTAAAAATTCCTAATTCTGAAAATTGCACAACAATCCTTTCATTTTTAAATATTCTTATATATGTAAGTACAAAACGACCACATAGAAGATTTAGAAAATAATTTTGGTTTTATTTTAAAATTTCACTTAGAAAACAAAAAATCTACAAACAGATTCTAATGCGCATATGTATAAATTTAACTTAATCTTCAGATGGTATGTATGTAGTAAGAATAGTGCTTTCAATTAATTATAACTAAAATTACACGAATGTATATACATATGAATACGAGAACTTAATTAACAATTCTTTGATTATGTACATACTGGTTGAATTACCGTATGTATTTAAATTATTAATAGTATACAAATGGTAGAATATATGTTAATTAGAGTCCTTCTTAAAAAATTATGCGTACAATTTTGTCAAATTCAATTCTCTCAGCCGATAAATCCGGTATTAAAGATATCACATACGATTTATTTTCGATAGGAGACTACTAAACTTGTGGGTATCAAAATTTATGGTGACATCTTTGGTACTATTAAAAAATGAATGAAATTGAATGAATTTATTCCAGTGTATTAAAATTTACTATATTACGATCAAAGTATATGTTGAGATTTCCGAAATCTGATGTAAAATTTCCATCACACATTTACCGCTCAACCTACTGTACACACTTGTATATACTTGAGCACATAGGCTAGGCATGCAATACTAATACTTTGGTAAGCGTCGAATAAGAAAAGTTATAACTGTTACCCAACTAGCAATACAAAAGTAATTGGTAAGGAAATATATACTGTTAATCCATTTCATTTAAGATAATTTAGTTATTTTTATTCACACAGCGGCAAACAAACTAAGCGAGAGCATCATGGCTATAACAGCGATCGCAAAAGGCTTCTGCATCGTGGCACCGCCAGCCAAATTATCAACAAAAGGTATAGCGCTAGCCGGTTGTTTGTTACGACGACTTGGTTCTCTCAACGTAAGCGATGAATAGACGGTGCGATCATTAAGCGGCTGAAGCGGGCGGTAGTTGTGGGTCATTGGCGAATTGTCGTGGGTGTGAAGATGACGGAAACGTTCGATCTAAATGAAAAATAGAGGTGACAAAAAAAAAAGATAATAAAATTGTAAAAAAAAACAATAAGTTTATGTCAGTTAAGAGAGTAATTAAGAACGAAAACGTTGCTTTTTAGACTTAACGATCTAAATTAAACAATGAAGGGTCCTTCACAAGCCTTTGATAAGCTTACATATCTTTTATTATATTATTTATATAGTTGTTCATTTAGTTCGCGTCGAAGTTGAGTCTCTTTCAACCTCCGAATACTTACTAAACTAAAGTTGTAATGAAAATTGAATGGTTCTATCTAAAGAATCTATGTTATTGTGTATGAAGGAAAATATCTACAGCCGTTTACGAGGTAATGCATATCTTCCATGTTGTAATATTAAGCGCAACAAGAAAGTTGTAAGACAATAACAACTCAACTTAAATTTTTTGTAAATGTTGAGTGGTTACTGATAATACGAAGTTGTGAAATTTCAACTTCAGTGGAGTTTAGCTATAAATCGAAAAAACAAATGCACTCCGTTATGGGCTCAGCCCTCTTATAAAGATTATCTTGATTTTGATCGGTCAGTTGGAATACTTTAGTGGTCCGAATTGAAAAATTTTTTCGGCTATTGTAGCGTTGTCTTGGATAATAATTTGTGCCAAATTCCGTGAAGATATCTTGGTAAATCCAAAAGTTTTTCATATATATTCTATAGTGATCAGATGGATATCTCAGAATGTAAGAGACTAGTTCGCGTATATACAGACAGACTGACAGACATAGCTAAATCGATTTGGCTTGTCATGGTGATATTTTGCGCCTAGATTTGGTTATACCTATACTTATACTTTACGAGCTTTCCGACGTTTCCTTCTGGGTGCTTTTAACTTTGTGGCGAACTTAATATACTCCCTTCAGTTTACACAAATCGAAACTAAATTTTTCCATCCCTTGAATGGTTTTTTGAGTTTTTGTTAAATCCGTCGTTATTCGTCTGAAGTTTCAGGCATACGTATTTCACAATCGATACTTTGATTGAATGAGGGAGTGTGTACTTTGTTGAACGATTGTTGTGGATATAAATGATTTAAGTTTAAGCTTTCAAGGTTTTCCCGAGCTTTCATTGACCTCGTATAATTAATAAGAACTAATATTTATTTAAAGTGGTATGACTTTCTGGTATTTATAGTCGAGTAAATTTATCTTATATTAAAATTGCTAACCTAAAATTTTTTTTTTATGAATTGACTACTTTAAAGCATAAGCAGGAATAAAAGACAGTGCTGTGAAGAGAAACTTTTTGACATATAATGCTAAGTTCCATTTAACACTACAAATACTGAAAGCCATGAGATTCTAACCTGATTTGCTGAGATGTATACCGGCTCTTTAAAATCAATCCAGGTCACATCCTCACTACAAGGAGGCGTAGTCAACGATCCTATATAAGTATAATAATCGTCAATTTCAATGTTACTGAAATCCCAAAGAATTGGTGGATTACGGAACTTGGCCACCGTGTCAGGCTTGACTACATGTTCTAACAGCTCTGTGAACTCATCATATTCTTGATTATCTTTTCTTGTTATCTAAAAAATTTATTAAATATGAAAATAAAGCATTAATATAAAACTGAAAATGGTGAATAAATGAATGGTGAACCTTATAGAAATACGCCAAAACAGTCACACCATTACTTTTCGCCGCCGCTTCCTCGAAGGTGGGATACTTGGTATTCCTAAAAACCATATGCAACTCAGCTGGAAAAGAGACATTGTTGATGCGATCCTCACTGCCGATTGTATCATTATCGCCCCAGTGAAAATGTAACTGTTCAAAAATAAATTCACCCACTAGTGGACCACCCGATACGGTTGGACGTTTTTTGGCGTACTCAAGACGTACGACCACTGTATGACCGTTATTTAATATTTCACCGCTAATTGGTTCCGAACCAAAATTGTCAGCACTTAGTGGTGGATAAGTTCGTCTGATCACATTGACCGAGTCAATGTTGATCGGACTTTGATGTTTGCCACTGCACGTACTGAACTGTTCACCCCAATGATCGGGTCCTATAAAGAAATTAAAAATTATTTACGATGAAAAAATTACCAACCCTAATTAAATAAGAATTTTTAGATTGGTGATATTAAAGGAAAACTTCTTTCTAATAGATATGAGTCTCTCTTCATTCTAGTTCGTTCAATAATATGAAGTATTTTCAATGAAGCGAGGATCCTCCCATTTTGCATCCTTATGTTTTTGTTAGGGACTGCTCTTAAGTGATGGTCCCTGATCGGATATAGATGTGGATCTAGGTATTCCGGTTACTTAAGCTTAAGTGGTGCCGGAGCGCCTATTTTTTTGTAAATTCTGAGGATATTTGTTTTAAACGATCCGTCTATTCTCTTCGTTAGTCTCAAATAGGTGGATCACTTAAGAGCTGAAATTATGAAAGCAGGGCAGAAGTCGAAGTACTAAATTTAAAGATATCTCTTATCTAACAGCTGAAGAGCTTTTGTTTTATAATCGTAATTAAAACTCCTTCCATATCTGGAGACAGATAAATTTAGTAAATTTACGTCTTTACTTACCCATTGCTCCATTGTAGGCGAAATTGTTTGCAAATGTCACACCAAAAACTGTAAAAAGAAGAACAAAGAGCACGAGATATGAGTATTTTTTAGTTAAATAAGAAAGTGTACGCACTCAATTTGAAATTTTATTTGCACTCATTATTGAAAGAGTGATAATTTATTACGCTTGCAGACATCCGACGACGTTTTGATTAAGTTGTTCGCGATTGAAAGCTCAATTAACCGTAAGAAGTGGTGGTTGCTAATAGCGTGCGCCACGAAAGTGCTAAATTTGGGATTCAGTGTTAAACTAAATTGTTTGCAATTGAGTTTATTTTTAGAGCACATGCTCGTCTCGCCATACATTTAATTTGTTTATTACATAAACTGAATTAAATTTGCGAAATTCTTTTCGAAAAATATCCAAAAATCTCATTGTATTTCATAGGTTGTTTACTTGCCATCTTTAAAATTAGATTTCTCATTTTTGGGTTCCAAAGTCATATTGGTACAACAAATAATAAAAAAATACGATACTACATATATTCGCGCGGTTTGCCAAGAGATGGAGTCACTTCACTATTAAGTTTTTTTCATTCATTCATGCCTGAAAAAGTGTTGTTGTGTTTTTCATTACTTTAGTATGGCAGCCGAAAATCATCATATTTTGATGGAAGTTTGTGATGAACATGCTCTAGCTGAGCGAACTTGCCAAAAGTGGTTTGAGTGATTTAAAAGTGGCGATTTTGGCTTGGAATACGAAGAACGTCCTAGGCTAATACCCGCATTATACCCATGGTGGGATCACAAGGGTGTGCTTTATTATGAGCTTCTAAAACCGGGAGAAACCATCAATAAGGAATGCTACCGACAACAACTCATCAAAATAAAGTGAGCCATTGCCAAAAAACGCCAGGATTTTGTGACTAGACACGAGCCAAAAATTTTTCATCATGACAACGCTCGGCCTTACGTTGCAAGACCAGTTAGAAACTATTTGGAAAACAGCGACTGTGAAGTTTTATCTCACGGACCTTATTGCCCAGACATACCCACTTGTTCCGGTTGATGCAGCATGCCGTCACTGAAATACGGTTGACACCAAAACAGGGTATCAAAAATTGGTTTGATTCATTCTTGGCCGTCAAGCGGGTCTAGTTATTTTGGGATGGAACCCACATATTGCCAGCAAGATGGAATTATATTATATATTTAAATCGGTAATACTGTAGTACTAGTGTAGAGTATAAGCTGACTTCATGACTTTTTTTTATAAATGGAGAGGCTTAGTAGACCTGTATATAGCTTCATTTTCATCGTGTTAGAGATCAGAATCATATATCGATTATCATGATTGGATAAAAAATTAATAGAATGTAGGATATTAAAACTTTGCCCATCGACTGGTTGAGCCATTAAAATGCTTATAATTGCCCCGAATGGAAATGCTTTTCATTCGAAGCCGTTCAACATTATAGTGGTCGATAGAAATATTGAGGCCATCCGTTTTTTCACAGCTACTTGGTAGACGTGACTCAAGATCTCTGTTCTTGTCTTATTTAAGGAAACAGAACGGATCTGTACGTGTCTATATCCAAATACCTATGTTAAAGACTTTTTTTGTTATGGTCAACTCTTCAGCTATTCATAAAATGTATACCGTAGTGTTATGTCTTTCAATACGTACCGTTGTATGTTCCATATCGATAAATAAGTCTATATATTGTATCAGGGACATTTATTTCCCTTTCGTACGGCTCTGGGCACACGCCACACGTAATCACAAATTATAGAGGATACAGCGAGAAAACTTTTCAGAGGGATAAATTTATTTTAATTAAAAACTATCTTTGAAGCTACTTTTTAAATAGTAGAAGAGAACCTCCCTAATAATCTTGTTATGGTTTAAACGGAAACCCGATATAACAAGAAGTTTGTTAAAAACATTGATATTTACTGCCATTGGAAGATTAACGGTACCTTTGTTTAGACAGTCTGCAGCAGTCTCCAAAACTTTTCGAGGACTGCTGTATGCTGCTACAGCAACAACTAAAAGGTGTAAAAGGTTTATAGGTATAAGGTGTCTTTCGCTTAATTATTACGAAAAGAATTTTGACTATTTCTGGGATCACACTTTTCATAGAAAGATTTCCAAAAATTTGGTATCTTTAGTAGCGGTCAGATCATTTTAAGAAAGCTATGACCACATCGGTCAACGATTCTAAGTCATATTTGAGATCGAGTAGTCGGTTAATGTACACATCCAATGAAAAGTCAATTCATCTTATTAAATAGAGTTAACTAACTATCCTATCTGCGTGTCGGTGTAAAAATAATTATTCTAATTACATTAACGGTACGCGCGCAGGAATTCAAACGAAAGCCAGATTTGGTAAACAAATTCTAACAGACATGCGAGGGCGTCTACGCTCATGTCATCGCCCGGCGGTGATGATTTTTCAAAAGAATAATCGTCGGCATTACATTTATAACGAAAATCAAATAACTGTACTCACACACTCACGATTTACAAATATTTGAATGTATTATGTAACTCGGAGCTGTCAACAGCAGGCGGAAGCGTTTTAAATAGAAATTGAACGTTTCGTGTAAATAGTATTATTAATAGCACGTATGATCTATTAACTCAAAATATTCGTACAGTGAGTGAAAAAAGTAGACATAAGCAGTAATTGACGCTTACATTTTAAACGTATTTTTACTAATCTTTTAAACTTTTCTAATGGAGGCATTTGAATAGATTTAAACCCGCTTGGAATCACTTAACAGAATTGAACTTATGGTGGTGGGGCTTTGAACCTAATTTAAATCGAAAATTAAAAAATAATGGGACGAAATTGTCGTGAGTTTTATATCTATTATTCTTCTTCTGGACCGTGTTATGATTTAAATAACCCAACTAAAATTAGTTGTCGCTTTTCTTACAGATATTAAGGCGATATACCAATTATACCCGAGCTGAACACAAAGGAAAACAACATTTTCACTTGTTTTTGCACAAATCTTTATTATCGCCTTTAAAATAGGCGCCTTTTGAGCCAATAAAAACAAGCCTTGACGGTGATGGTCTCAGCGTCTTCAGCAAATGATTTTTATTGACTTCAATGGATTCATGGCGCTTCCCCGAAGCAGATTTTTCAGTTACGAAAACAGAAAAAAGGCAGAGGGAGCCAAATCTAACGAATACGGTGGTTGAGCAATGACACAATCATGTTAGAACGCAGGGACGTATTATCATAGTGGCAAATCCATGAAGTTTGTGTCTACAAATTCGGTAGTTTTTCTTATTGATAGTTTGACTCTGTGAAACGAGTTCATGGTGAACCACATCAGGTAATCAAAGGGGACTGTGAGCATCCCATTGATTTTTGATCGACTTTGACGTGGTTTATTCGGTTTAAGCTCATTTTTTGAGCGCCAATCGCTATATTGTAGGAACGATTCGACATCATAATCATATATATGGTCACTAATATATATCGTCACTAATAATGATGCGTTTGATTAATGTAGGGCCCTCAAATACGTTGCCAAGCATCTCTTTTGTGACCTCTACCAGACATTGTAAATAAACAGCTGCCAAACCCTAATTGACATAAGGAAATCATACTTTACACGAATCTAAAAAAAGGTTGTACATATCTAAACAAATTTTTTTATCCATTCGGTTTGCTCACGCAGTTTAATTGGTGTAACTCGTGACAAATTTTATAACATGAAGTGACTAACTTTATACCAATAACACTAAGCTTAGCTAAGGCTTCCTCTAAGCTATTTGAAATGCCGTTAGAGATCTAAGGATGTGTTAATCTTTTGTTAAAACTTTTTATTTACAAACCGATTTATCAAACTACTCTCATCATTATAACTGAATTATTGTAGTTATGAAATCGCACGTTTAAATATAATATAAAATAGATACGCAATGTGGGAAATTTTGCACAAATACATCGGATACGGTCTTACTGATGTGAAATTTTATATTCCCGCGTCGTAAAAGAGGTTTTATTTTAGATATCCAATGCAGTTGTAAAGGTGAAGGTGCACACTTGGAATAGTACATTACAGTTTGTCAGTGAATTTTTAATTGAAATATTAATTGAATCCTGTGCTAGTGATTATTTTAATTGCAACACACCCATGCAATTAATAACTGGTATGGAAATAAGCCGGTGGTTTTGTAAAATCAGACACTCTGTCTATAAGTCAAATAACAATGGAAGCTTACGGATATTTGTTCTAAAGAGAAAACACAATTAATAGGGAAAATGTATAGTGACTTATACGTTGCAAGAATATACATATTAAGATTTTTTTATATATTTTTCCACGAGTTCCGATTATTTAATGGCACATAAATACAAATTCAATTTTTAATAATCTTAAAGTTGCCAAGGTAGGGCTGGTTCCGCACAGTGAAGTGAATTTCACACTCGATAAATTAAAATCCAATTAATAACTGTATTCTAAGAGTCATTAAAATAGAGTACTAATAATTAGAAAATTAGTATTGTTATAAACTGTAGAGTCAAACATAAAATACTGTTGAAACGTGTGGGTTTACAAAGGAGTGAAATTTTTCGACGAATCCGATAAGTACAATGGTTTAGATTGAGTGCCATACTCTCTGACGGTAGTGGTTTAGAATAGTTTTGCTGACCGTTCTTCCATTAAAGATATTCTGGGTTTAAAGACCTCCAAAGGGATAAAGGTATCTAAGATCATTTGAAGTACTAAGTATTCAAATTCACATATTTCCGGAAAGAAACATTTCCATCCTTTTTTGAAAAGTGGAAGTCGCAAGTAAGCCCCGTTCGAAATGTCAAGTCGAGCAAGGTCATTCTGTTTCCCTTGATAAACCCTATCACCACTTTAAAAGCTTTTGGCGATGGCGTGGGCTTACCACTCTAACGAACCAACATGAACCGCTTTCTTCATAATCTATGAATTATAATGACGTGTTTGCAGCTATACTGCTTACTCTTCAACGAGTAAATCGTTCACGCTGCTTCCTCATTGGTTAATCGACAAGATCAGACATATTA